AATGAGCTGAGACTGTACTACCGCACTCCAGCCTGGGTGACAGAGTGAGACCCTGTCTCAAAATAATAGTAAAACAATAATCATCTTTTAAAAGTCAAGATTACACAAATTTAGTTTACAGATCTTAGCTTTTATTCATGATTCTACTTCTTATTATTATTCTTATTTTTAGAGACATGGTCTCACTTTGTCACCCAGGCTGGATTGCAGAGGTGAGATCACAGCTCACTGCAACCTTGAATTTCTGGGCTCAAGTGATCCTCCTACCTCAGCCTCCCAAGTAGCTAAAACTACAGGCACATGCCACCATGCCTGGCTAATGTTTTATTTTTTGTAAAGATGAGGTCTCACTGTGTTGCTCAGGCTGGTCTTGATCCTCTAGCCTCAGCCTCCCAAAATGTTGGAATTTCAGGCATGAGTCACCCTGGCCCATTCATGAGTCTAAAATTGGGAGTCCCACAGAACCAGGACAGGTTCAAGGGGCTTCAGTCAGCAACATAGAGTGTTTGTGGATGGAAAACAGAAGTAAGCTATAGAGCTTAATTGGTTACAGTGTTTGCTTTGTTTGAATCAGTTGGCCACCTAAGATCTACTAAAGCTCAGCTGTTGTAACTGACAAAAACTCAGCTATTTGCTACATGTATATACTCTTAAGTTAATTAGTTTCATTTAGCATGAGTGACTCCATATTGGTTTGGTCTGCTGGACCCGGTACAGGGGTCTTGTCCCAATCAATGGCTTCCTGCAAATTTTATTTAACAGGCAGAAAGGGGGAGAGGAGGCCGGGCGCGGTGGCTCAAGCCTGTAATCCCAGCACTTTGGGAGGCCGAGACGGGCGGATCACAAGGTCAGGAGATCGAGACCATCCTGGCTAACCCGGTGAAACCCCGTCTCTACTAAAAAATACAAAAAACTAGCCGGGCGAGGTGGCGGGCGCCTGTAGTCCCAGCTACTGGGGAGGCTGAGGCAGGAGAATGGCGTAAACCCGGGAGGCGGAGCTTGCAGTGAGCTGAGATCAGGCCACTGCACTCCAGCCTGGGCGACAGAGCGAGACTCCGTCTCAAAAAAAAAAAAAAAAAAAAAGAAAGGGGGAGAGGATAGAAAGATCTCTTCATCTGCTTGCTGCTTCTTAATTGCCTTCAGCTCAAAAATATTTATGTCAAAGAGGTATATTTTGGGGGGACATATTCTGGTTTCCTTCACGGGGATCAAAGAGAACAATATGTAAGGCACATCTTAGTGCTTGGCAACTTGGCATGCCTCATTCTCCTGGCAGCGTCTTGCATAGTAAAAAGCACGATTTGAATTGCTGTCAGCAAATACATATTCAATGAAGAATTCCTTTGGAAGATGCAAAACCATTCCTCATTTGGCTCTTTCTTGCAACAAACTCTAAAGACCAGAGAGCAGCACTGAAAGTGCAGCCTAGCAAAAGCATGGTTAGGGCCAGGTGTTAGGAAGCCTCAGGACAGGCTGGTTGCTCGGTCGTTAGAGTTCCTTCTGAAATGTCCATTTCTCTTCTGGCTCTTGGCATCCTTGCAGCAGGCTAGAGACTGCTGCTAAGGCCCAGTGATCGGAGCCTGGGGTAGGCATGAGGCTATGAGCCTACCCCAGGAAGGATGTTAGTGTGCATTCCTGGGGACAGGTCCAACGTTCCTTCCAAAAGACACCCATGGTCCTTCCTGGCTCCTCTGCAAGTGTCCACTGGAGAATATAGAACCTGTAGCCTGCATCTTAGAAAACCTGGACCAGGCCAGGCACAGTGGCTTATACCTGTAATCCCAGCACTTTTGGAGGCTGAGGCGGGCAGATCACCTGAGGTCTGAATTTCAGACCAGCCTGGCCAACATGGTGAAACCCTGTCTCTACTAAAAAATACAAAAATTAACCAGCCATGGTGGCACACACCTGCAGTCCCAGCTACTTGGGAGGCTGAGATATGAGAATCGCTTGAATCCAGGAGGCAAGGTTGCAGTGAGCCGAGATCATGCCACTGCACTCCAGCCTGGGTGACAGAGCAAGACCCTGTCTCAAAAAACAAAAAAACAAAAAACAAAAACCCGGGACAATTTAGAAAGCCACTCCATCTTACCCAAGCCCTCTCCCCTTTCCTGGCTGGAATAATGGCCTCTGGGCCTCTCTCTGTCTCTCTTTTTTTCTTTTTTTCAAGGCAGAATCTCACTCCGTCACCCAGGCTGGAGTGCAGTGGAACAGTTATGGCTCACTGCAGCCTCGACCTCCAGGGCTCAGGTGATCCTTCCACCTCAGCCTCCCAAGAAGCTGGAACTACAGGTGCACACCACTACACCGGCTAATTTTTTCTATTTTTTTTTTTTTTTTGTAGAGACTGGGTTTTGCCATGTTACCCAGGCTGGTCTCAAACTCCTGGCCTCAAGTGATCCTCCAGCCTCGTCCTCCCAAAGTACTGGGACTACAGGCACGAGCCATCATGCCTGACCTGGGCCTCTGCTTGTTGCAGCCTCTGGAGCCAGCAGGCACAGGGCCCAAGGTGGTCCTGAGAGGCCCAGGCATCTCTTGGGTAGAAAAAGTCCTTCTCACCGGGTGTGGTGGCTCACGCCTGTAATCCCAGCACTTTGGGAGGCCGAAGCGGGCAGATCACGAGGTCAGGAGATCAAGACCATCCTGACTAACACAGTGACACCCCGTCTCTACTAAAAATACAAAATATTAACTGGGCGAGGTGGCGGGCGCCTGTAGTCCCAGCTACTTGGGAGGCTGAGGCAGGAGAATGGCGTGAACCCGGGAGGCAGAGGTTGCAATGAGCTGAGATCGCACCACTGCACTCCAGCCTGGGCGACAGAGCGAGACTCCATCTCAAAAGAAAAAAAGAAAAGAAAAGAAAAAGTCCTTATCTAAGCCTCAAATCCGTCATCCATCCAAGGGACCAATAACAGCTCCTTTACCTCCCAGGCTGGATTGAAGAGGGTGCTTTAAGCCGTTGTTTCACTAAGTAATTGACTGGCTCACCCTTCACCCTATCCTGGAAGGATATGAAGCCACTGTTGTAATCTCAGGGATGGGCTCACCCACCACCCCCATGCTCTTGGTCCACCAAAGCTGGGAGGTCGCTGCTGTCAACCCAGGGCTGAGCAAGGAGGGACTTAGGCCCTGGGCTGTCTCCCCCAGCCTCTCACTCATGCCTGCTGTAGAGGAGGAGGGAGTTAAAGTTAGCTCTGAGCAGCCCTCTGCCTGATACTAATACTTTACCAATGGAGATTTTCCTTTTCTGTTTTTGACACAGGGTCTCACTTTCCTTCCCAGGCTGGAGTGCAGTGGTGCAATCATGGATCACTGTAGCCTCCATCTCCCTGGCTCAAGCCATCCTCCCACCTCAGCCTCCTGAGTAGATGGGACTACAGTGTGTGCACCACCACGACTGGCTAATTTTTAAATTTTTTGTAGAGACAGGGGTTTCCCTATGTTGCCCAGGCTGGCCCGAATTCCTGGGCTCAAGCGATCCTGCCACCTCGGCCTCCCAAACTGCTGGGATTGCAGGAGTGAGCCACAGTGCCAAGCCTGGAGATTTTCTTTATATATATAAATCATTTTACAAAAGGACAGCTTTTCAGAGCTACTCCTATGCCTTCAGTTTCTAAGAATAATCCCTTCAAAATATGCTGAAGAAGTATATTTTGGGGTGGCACATGCTGGTCTCCCACAGTCATATTTTGGGTGTGTGTCCTGAGCCCCAACACTGGTCACCTCGCAGTGGTGCTTGGGGTCCCTGGGTGCCTAGAGCTGGCAGGTTACCCCTTCTCTCTCTCCCGCTCTCAGCCTTTCTCCCGCTGCTGTTGAAATTCTTTCCTTCGTGAAGGCGGAGCGCTTAGGGGCGCTTAGGACCTGTATATGGTCGTTTTCCTTCGCATAAAAAGAAAACTTGTTTTGTAGAAGGGCAAGGTGCAGCTTCCAGAGGTACCTGGGATGATGCCCCTCTAGCAGTAGGCGAGCTTGGGGGTGTGGGCGGCGGGGGAAGGCGAGGCCCTGGGGGACCTGTTGTTTTTCCTGTTGTAAGTGAAAAGGAAACAAAGTGGGAAGTGGAGTGTGCGGGCTGGCGGCAGGCGGGGCGCCCCGCCGCGCCCCGCCTCCCTCCCTCGAGGCTCACTCGCGCCCAACGCCGTCGCTCCGAGCGGCCGCGAGCCGAGCCGCCCAGCCCTGCCAGCTGCGCCAGGAAGGTAAGCGATCGCCGCTGGCTGCATCAGGGGAGGTGGGAAGAGGACCGCGGCCAGGGGCTTTGGGAGCCGCGGCTGCGCTCGGGGCCGCGGGGCTGGCTGGCGGGCGTCTCTCCGGCACACACAGCCCATGCGCCCTGGCCCTGGGCACCTCCCCGCGTCTAGCGAGCCGGGCCCTGGGAGCCCCGGGGGCCGGGCTGCTGGGACCTGAGCGGGGACTGCCCTAGAGGCCCGGGGCCGTCCCCCGTGGGCCCGCCGAGAGGAGCGCGTGCAGCTCTCCGGCGCCTGCACTGCGCGCCTTGCCCGCCTGGCCGGGCGGCTGGGTTTCGGCTGAGCTCCCAGCGGAGGTGCGGCCTCCCGTGCGCCGGCCGAGGCAAGAGGAAACTGGAAGCGCTCAGCGCGTGCGCCCGCTCCGAGCGCTGGCGAGAGGACCAGGGACCTCCTCTGTACGGCGGCTGGGTCCACAGAGGGCGCGCTGGCGGTGTCCCCCGAGTGCCCTGGCGCGGAGAGAGGGCTGCGCACAGTTCGCCGGCGCCCGGGTCCTGTGCGCCCTTCCCAGCCCGGGCAAGTGGGGAGCGGAGCTGCAGAGGGACCAGGGTGGACGTTTCCGGGGCTTCCTCCCGACTTGTGGACCCGCGCCCCGCCTCCCCGTCCCAGGCCGCCCGCGCTGTTCGCCGCGTTTGCTGCAGCGGCGCAGGCAAGATCAGCTCCGGATCTGCGGCCGAGCCGGGGTTACGCCGGCGAAACCGCCCCCAGCTTTGCATTTCCGGACTTTTTTATAAAATACTCTTACCCGTAATTCAGCCTGAATGAGGCTTTTTTAAAAAAATCGAGTTTCCTGTTTTTATTTAGGCTTCCTCATCTGCACCTCTTCCTCTGAGATAGAGAAGAGGGGAACTGGCACGACCTTTCGTGGGCACCAGGATGGGGGCGTTGCGGGGCGGGAAGACGGGGGTCCAGAGAACCGGGGAAGGGCCGCTGGGAGGTCCCGAAAGTGCGCTCTGGGTGGGGCGAGAGTGAAGCAGGTAGGGGCGAGATTTCCGGGGTCGCGGGTGGGGGGCGCCCTGGAGCGGCCAAGATGCAGGTTCCTCGCGTGGCCCCCCTGGGATCTGCCCAGTTTGCGGATGGAGCGCGGAGCTGATGGGCCAGCTCTCACTTGGTGTAGGTGTTCCCTGGAAGGAGGGACCTGCGGATCTTGAACCCCACCAGACTCCATTAAGGGGGCCTTCCCTCTGCCTCCTGAGAAGTCCCACCTCTGAAATGCTGGGCACAGCCGCGCGTGGATGTGGGGCGGGTGTGCCGTGGGTTGGAGTGGGAAGGGGCTATTTTCCTCACTCAGGGCTCTCGGAGGGGAAGGTTTACTGCTCCCTGGGGCCTTTAAGACCAAGGGCTAACCCCCTGCTTTCTTCCAGGAGTGCTTGACGGTGCCTTGGTGTTCTTGTCAATTGAACGGTACCATAGGACATTACTCCCCAAAGAACTGGTCGTTCTTACCTAGGTGATTTCAGTTGGACAACCGTAGGAACTGAGTGGTGTTGTCTTCATTTTACAGTTAAGGCAATGAAGGCTCAGAAAAGTTAAATAACTCACCAACCCACACAGTTTACAAGTAGCTCCTCCAGAATCCCAGCTCTTTCCGACGCCAGCGCGTTTAATCATCTGGGGGTGCCGTTGCTGGCGGGGTAAGGAGAATATCCTAGTAATTATCTTGGGGGGATTTGGAGGGGACGACTTTTCAGAGGCATCCTCTAAGATACCCTTGAGACTCCTCTGTAACACCCGCTGCTGCCATTCACACCCCTCCCCAATTTGATTGATGTGTTGAGTGGGGCGGAAGGTTCTTTTGGTTGATGAGGCTGCGACCAAACGCAAGGAGATATAAATAGAGCTTTCTCTTTGGCTCTCTCTAGAGCAGAAATGCCAACCCCTTAGCATTTCCATGGCCTGCTGGAGTTTCATTTCTTGATATTAGGATTCCAGCCATCTTGGCTGGTGAGAGGCCTGCTGGCGGCTTCCTGGGCTTGGTCCTCTTTTGGTACTTGCACAGAATGATGGAAGACACTGGAGTGGGCTGGAGGAGTGCTCTTAAAACCCGGTTGTGGCTGATAGCGGTAGCTCATACCTGTCATCCCAGAGCTTTGGGAGGCCCAGACGGGAGGATCACTTGAAGCCAGGAGTTCAAGGTTGCAGTAAGCTATTACAGTGCCACTGCGCTCCTGCCTGGGTGACAGAGCAAGACCCCATCTCTGAAAAATATAACACAACAACCCAGTTGCCTGCTCGAGAGACACCTAAGCTAGCCTCCTTCTGAGCCCCACTTCCCACACCCCTCAGCCCATGTTCAGAAACAGACTACATTGGCCACACTGCTCACTTAGATGTTTCTGGAATTAGGGCACGTGCCCCAGAGGTACTCCCGACCACGCGGATGTCCCCTTCTAGCAGGAAAAGCGCGTTTCTGCGTTTCTGCAGCCTCAGTCCACGCCGCCGGGTCTTTGCACTAAGCTGTGGGCTCCGTTTCTCCTCCGCTACTATGTTTAGCAAGTATTTCCTGAGATCCCACGGGGGCTCAGGGGCTATGCTAAGAACAGAGCAGGCAGAGTGGGAGGGCATCGGCCCCTGGGGGGCTCACAGGACGGACAGTCCACCAATGGTTGGAGGCCAGCACCCAGAGCCAGTCCGCTGTCGCACAAGAGTGTCCGATGGAATTCATGGGGGTGGGAGTGGTGATGGTGAGAGTCGGTTCCTGCTTCACCTTGTTTTTCTTCAATTGCACAGTGAAAGGGAGAAGTGAATGTGCAACGGATGAAGCAATTCCCCTTTGGCTGGGTTATTTTCAAAACCATTTTTGTGTAGAGAGCAGTTCCCTCCCTCCCTGAGGCCAGCTGCTGGTGTGGGTGGGCCTGATGGTGGGGTTTGGGGCCCCAGCAAATGTTTCCTTAATGTGGGGCCTTCAGAAAGTTCTTTCAGGCCAGGCGAGGTGGTTCACGCCTGTAATCCCAGCACTTTGGGAGGCCGAGGTGGGCGGATCACTTGAGGTCAGGAGTTCAAAACCATCTTGGCCAACATGGTGAATCCCTGTCTCTACAAAACAATGCAAAAAACATTATCTGGGTATGGTGATGAGCACCTGTAATCCCAGCTACTCGGGAGGTGGAGGCAGGAGAATCACTTCAACCCAGGAGGTGGAGGTTGCAGTGAGCTGAGATTGTGCTACTGCACTCCAGCCTGGGCAACAGAGTGAGACTCCATCTCAAAAAGAAAAAAAAAGAAAAAAAGCTCTTTCAGCCAGGAGGGTGGCTTCAGCTATTCCCCAGGGGACAAGCGTGTTTCGCAGCAAAGCTGTTAGAGAAGATGGTCCTAGAAGCAATGCCCCAGGATGGATGAGACAAGGAAGGGCCCTGTCCACGGGAGGATGGCAGAGCCTGGCTTGTTTGAGAGGGAGGAAAATATTATCATCTTGGTACTGGTGACAGTGTTTCATAATTAGCGAAGGTTGCAAAACGCCACCTTTCTCTCCCTACAGTTAACGCTAAGACTGAATTGTCTTTAATTTGGTTGGTGGAAATCCCCGGCAATCATATCAGAAATGCTGCCAGTTTCAAGATGGAAACAATAAAAAACCCAGGAACCCCTTGCCACCCTTTTTTTTTTTATTGCAGCTAAACACTGTGGCTTGCTGTGGGTCCTACCAAAATAATGGGCCACCCTCGCCTCCCTGAGGGCCAGCACAGTCCCTGGGGCCTGTGAATGTTCCCCTTCCAGCTGCACTGGCTGGATATGCATGAAACTCCCCTCCCTCCCCAGAAGTGACAACCGCACTACCTCGGATAAGGGTCAGGACTCCTGGAAATGGGTCCCTTTTCCTATTACTTTCTTTTTGCTTCTTTTTTTTTTTTTTTTGGAGATGGAGTCTCACTTTGTTGCCCAGGCTGGAGTGCAGCGGTGTGATCTCGGCTCACTGCAACCTCTGCCTCCCAGGTTCAAGCGATTCTCCCACCTCAACCTCCCGAGTAGCTAGGATTACAGACATGCGCCACTATGGCCAGCTATTTTTAGTATTTTTAGCAGAGACGGTGTTTTGCCATGTTGGCCAGGCTGGTCTCAAACTCCTGACCTCAGGTGATCCGTCCACCTTGGCCTCCCAAAGTGCTAGGTTTAAAGGCGTGAGCCATCGTGCCCAGCCTTCCTATTACATTCTGAGCACAGGGGGAGTGATCAGAGCGAAGGGTGCGGCATTTCTAAAGTGGTATTTCGGTTGGCTTCTGTTTCACTCATATTGGGGGAAATTGCTTCCACTTAGAGAAAATGCCGGAAGAGTGGGAGGTGCCAGGAGTAGGGTGGGGGAGGAGGAGATGCAGAAAGGGATGGACCTTTTTGGGATTTTTCATCCTGGAGGGATGCTGTACAGGTTAAATATCCCTTATCCAAAATGCTTGGGACCAGAAATGGGTTGGATTTTGGATTTTGGGATATTTGCATTATATGCTTACCAACTGGGCATTCCAAATCCAAATGTCTGACATGTAAAATGCTCCAAAGAGCGGCCGGGTGTGGCGGCTCACGCCTGTAATCCCAGCACTTTGGGAGGCTGAGGTGGGTGGATCACCAGGTCAGGAGATCGAAACCATCCTGGCTAACATGGTGAAATCCCGTCTCTACTGAAAATACAAAAAATTAGCTGAGCGTGGCAGCGGGCGCCTGTAGTCCCAGCTACTCTGGAGGCTGAGGCAGGAGAATGGCGTGAACCTGGGAGGAGGAGCTTGCAGTGAGCCGAGATGGCTCCACTGTGCTCCAGCCTGGATGACAGAGCAAGACTCCGTCCCAAAAAAATAAATAAAATAAAATAAAATAAAATAAAATAAAATGCTCCAAAGAGCTTTGTATTCGATCATGATGGCACTCAAAAATTTCAGATTTTGGAACGTTTTAGATTTCAGATTTGGGATGCTCAACTGTTGTTAACCTCCTGTGGTTGCTGTAACAAATGACCTCAAACTTTGTGGCTTAAAACAACAGAAATGTGCATGCTTATAGTTTCAGCTGCTTGGGAGGCTGAGGTGGGAGGATCATTTGTGCCCAGGAGTTTGAGGCTGCAGTGAGCCATGATGGAGCCTGTGAGTAGCCATGGCACTACAACCTGGGCAACATTGCGAGATCTGTCGCTAAAAGAAAATAACAGAAATGGGCCGGGTGTAGTGGCTCACGCCTGTAATCCCAGCACTTCGGGAGGCTGAGGTGGGCATATCACTTGAGGTCAGGAGTTCGAGACCAACCTGGCCAAAATGGTGAAGCCCCATCTCTACTAAAAATACAAAAATTAGCCAGGCATGGTGGCATGTGCCTGTAGTCCCAGCTATTTGGGAGGCTGAGACAGGAGAATCTCTTGAACCCAGGAGGCAGAGGTTGCAGTGAGCTAGACTGCGCCACTGCACTCTAGCCTGGGTGACAGAGCGAAACTCCATCTCAAAAAAAAAAAAAAAATGTATTCTCTCACAGTTCTGGAGGCCAGAAGTTAAAAATTAAGGCGTCAGCAAGGCCTCACTCCCTCTGGGGGCTGTAGGGAGACCATCCTTCTTTGCTTTTCCTTCTGGAGGCTACAGCGTATCTTGGCCTGTGGCTGCATCACTCCAGTCTCTGACTCCGTCTTCACAAGGGCATCCCCTCCGTGTGTCTGGGTCTCTGTCTATCTCTTATAAGGACACTTGTCTTTGGATTTAGGGCTCCCTTGGATAATTCAGGTAGAAATCATTTCAGGATCCTTAACTTACTTACATCAGCAAAGACCCATTTTCCACATTATTCTTTTTCCAGATAATGTCCAGGTCCTGGGGGTTAAGACCTGGCTTTGTGGGGGCTACCATTCAGCCCACTGCAGATAAACAGGAATGTCTTGCTGTGTTTTCTGGGGACGCTGGGGAGTGCTGTCATCTTTGCAAGGAAGCTGCCCTGTTCTGCCACTTGGGTGACTTTAGGCAAAGATGTCAGAGTCCGTGGTGATCTCTGCTGGACCATTGACCCCAGCCTCCTTCCTGCTTGCCGTTCCCCAACTTGTATGAACTGGCAACCCACCGCATCCCACCCCTAACCTCCTGGGCTAACTTCTGGAGCTCAGGAGGAGAAATGCTCTTACTTTCCCTCTCCAACAAACTCCTCCCTCTTTATCTTCAACAACAATCCCTGCCCTCCGCAGCCCGTTCCCAGCCCAGGACTGCTCGCTCTCTTTCTGAGATCACACAGCGCCTCACATTTTGAACTTTTGTCTGTTGGGCAGCTACTGGCAGAGGTCGGGGGAGGGCTCAGGTGGGCACACAGATGCTGCTGTCTTCCCACCTCTTACCCCAGGACATGGTATGGGGCTGGTGGCACTGGGAGGGGTTTGGGGAGCCCCGTTCGTCATTGAAGTTTGTAGGAGGGGTGGATGAGGACATGGGAGAATGACTGGGTGAGGTGCTCCGGGGCTCTCTGGAAGGGCTGGGCCCCCCTCTTGTGTCAGCCCCAGTGGGGGCATTGCTCTTGTCTATGTTGGTCATGAAATCTGGAAGAAATGCTTTCTTATCAATAGGGAAGCTAATCGGCCTTGTTTTTGAAACTTCGGAAAACCATTTATGGCTAGGCATGGTGGTTCATGCCTGTATTCCTAACACTTTGGGAGGCTAGGGAAGGAGGATCATTTGAGCCTAGGAGTTTGAGACCAGCCTGGGCAATACAGTGAGACCCCCATCTCTGCAAAAAATAAAAACAAATTAGCTGGGCATTGTGATGCACGCCTGTAGCCCCAGCTACGTGGGAGACTAAGGTGGGAGGATTACGTGAGTCCAGGAATTTAAGGCTGCAGTGAGCTATGGTTGCAACACTGCACTCCAGCCTGGGTGACAGAGCGAGACCTTGTCTCAGAAAAAAAAAAAAAAAAAAAAGATAGTCATTTATGTCCAGGTGAGGGTGGGGCTGGGTGAGGTGGTGGTTTGAGGGGGATTGCCACATGGAAGAGAATGTACTGTCTTTGGAGTCAGCTGAACTGGGTTTTTTCCCAGCCACTTTTTTTTTTTTTTTTTTTTTTTTTTTTTTTTGAGGCAGAGTCTCACTCTGTTGCCCAGGCTGGGATGGGATGGGATCTTGCAGTGGTGGGATCTTGGCTCACTGCAACCTCCACCTCCCAGGTTCAAGCGATTCTCCTGCCTCAGCCTCCTGAGTAGCTGAAATTACAGGCACGTGCCACTCTACCTGGCTAATTTTTGTGTTTTTAGTAGAGACGGGGTTTTGCCATGTTGGCCAGACTGGTCTCAAACTCCTGACCTCAGGTGATCCACCCGCCTTGGCCTCCCAAAGTGCTGGGCCTGGCCACCCAGCCACTTTTTATCTGCTGGGTGACCTTGGGCAAGTCTCTTAACCCATCAGAACCTCAGAGTCCAGTTGTAACACTGAGATAGCAATACCTACCTGTTAGTCTTGAGGATTTTGTATATTATCCTTTGTAAAGTGCCAGGCACATAGCAATCCATGCGGTATCTGCAAAGGAGCTGGTGTGGAGTGGATTAGAAACAGAAGCCATTTATTATCATCCCTCTTGCCCAACACAGCGGTTGCCCATTGGGTGTCCTTTCCATTAACTTCTCTTGGACATGCATTTTAACTTAGTTGTAATTACGAGAATACATGGACACAGGGAGGGGAACAACACACACTGGGGCTTGTTGGTGAGGGGTGGGGGGTGGGAGAGATCAGGATAAATAGCTAATGCATGCAGGGCTTAATACGCAGGTGATGGGTTGACAGGTGCAGCAAATCACCATGGCACACGTTTACCTATGGAGCAAACCTGCATGTCCTGCACATGTATCCCAGAAGTTAAGATAAAAAATAGGCCGGGCACAGTGGCTCACGCCTGTAATCCCAGCACTTTGGGAGGCTGAGGCGGGCGGATCACGAGGTCAGGAGATCGAGACCATCCTGGCTAACACGGTTAAACCCTGTGTCTACTAAAAAAATACAGAAAAATTAGCCGGGCGTGGTGGCCGGCACCTGTGGTCCCAGCTACTCGGGAGGCTGAGGCAGGAGAATGGCGTGAACCCAGGAGGCAGAGCTT